CAGTCATGCAAGGGTTCAAACCCTAAACCCTAAACCCTACGCGTACCCTAAACTCGCGGCTACAGCAGCGGCTGCGGACGGCAGGCGGCACACTTGGGGCTGCCAATAGGAACGAGGAGGGGGAGGTGGAGGCGTTTGGCGGCGGCCAGACGGCTGATGGCCGCCATAGGGGCTGTGCTGCGTGGCCGCTGCAGGCCACCGGCGGCGGCGGCGGCTTTGACAAATGCTGAGTTCTGCGCCGCAGACCCAGATGGCATCCCAGAGTTCCTACACTCCCACTACGAACACAAACTCGCACACAGGACAATGGCCCTCGGCCTGCTGTTCCCCTTCCGCCTGGCAGAGTATAAGTCGGTGAGCGACTGCGAGGAAGCTTGGGGGAATGAAACTGGGAGGCACCTGCGCTCCCGCTGGGCCGGGCCGGTGGTGGGCAAGCGGGCAGGCGGTGTTGGTTGCTGGCGGCGGCGGTGGTGTACGTGTTGGGGGGGAGTCGATGAGCGTTCGGGCGGCGAATATAGGCCGCCCCGCGCGGCGGCCTTCATGCGCTGCAGGGCCCGGGCCCAAGGGCTGCTGTGCAAGAAACTTACTTGAGGAGCGGTGCAGCGGCCTGGGCTGCGGCTGCTTGACTGCCCCACGTACGCGGACCTCCGGGCCAAGCCGCACTTTGCGCCTTTGTTTGCGATTCTACCTGCATTTGCTCGCATGCACGCCTTTGCGTGCAGCGCAGATCCGCCAGCACACATTGGGGGCCTTCGTGCACACCTGCTTTGAATGGCGCACGGTGGCCACCTGAACCTCAGTCACACAACGTTGATGCTTCAACGTTCAATCTCATGAGCCTGGATGGCTCCAGGAGCGGGCGACCCTGGGACCCTGTAACAATCCTAATCCTCATCATAATCCCACCGCTGAGGGGTTGCAGGTAGGGGTCAGGGGGCGGCGGAAGGGTACACATGCAGCAGTTGAGAGGACGTCAACATGCGGCATTTGTGCGCCTACATCAGTCATGCAGCTATCGTGCTTGGCCTTTGCATGTTGACTTTGTGGTTGTGGTAAATCAGGGTGACTGATACGACGCAGGGCAGGGCAAGTCCAAGCTGGGCACCAGCTAGCAGCAGCGAAAGGGAATTGGCAGCGAAGCAGCCAGACAAGCTTGGGTTCAGGGTTCAGACCTTTGAACCCTGAGGGGCAAGCAAGTGGCATCACGTGGTGTGCCACTGGGGTGTGTTGACATCCACAAGTAGTCACGCTGGCGTAATAAGGTGATTGACAGGACCAAGGGGGGAGTGCAAGGTGGCTGGTCATCGCGCCATTAATGATTATTACTGGCCAGTGCTGCAGCACACACTGAGTATGCAAGAACGAGAGGTCCCTCACTCTTTTGCAAACATCTGTCGGCCGAGGACACGGTGACACAGTGTTGGCATGCGGTATGGGGGAACCACTGTTACATGGCTCGCCCATCGCGCGGGGGCCCACGGGCGCCTTGCTATTGAGATACGCAGCAGCTCGCCGTGCCAAACATGCACGAACATTCAATGACTGATTTTAAACTGCACGCGTGCGCTGCTCTCTCAAATACACACCCTGCATCTAGAACCTGCTCGTGTGCAGGGGGCACGCTGCGAGCTGCTCCATGGCCTTGCTTAGGGCTGTGCCGGGAATCAGATTTGTCAGCCGCCACCGTACGATAGCATCACGACACGAGTCTGCATCAATCAGCATTACATCAAGGGCATGCGCCACCAAGATGAGGCAGCACTAGCACCATGCCGGCGCTGCAATCGCAACTACACCACAACGCGCGAGCGGATCCAGCTTGTACAGCAGATTATTGTTGTGTGGTCCAGTATGACGTTGGTGTAGCACAACTGCAGCGTTTCATGTTTGATCTGCTAAAAGCTCTCTACTGGAAAAGCACAACGGAAGGGATACGATTCATTTGGGTCAGCAGCCAAGGGGCGCATGCAGGAGTGCGGTGGATTGGGGTGGCGGTGCAGGTGACGGTTGCAAGCACAACACTGGTTGGCTTGGACAGGCAAACATGGTTCGCCAGAAGCAAAATCAAACAGGGTGGCTCTTGACGCTGCGGAGCCATTTCACTCCCCGCAGGCCTGCGGTCGCGCGATCCCATGCGCTGATGACCGCTACTCCTTCCTGTGATGCTTCAAAGCCGGGCGTCCGGCTCGGTGCCACGTGAGGCACGAGTGCGGCTGGCCTCCCCTTGCCCCACCGCCGGCGCGACTGCTGCTGTGCGTTTGCAGCCTCGCGGAGTGCCGACAGGAAGGCTGAACCTGTGAAGGCGTGGTCTGCGACCGACGAGGCAGAGATGGCGGAGGGCCCACGGCTGGCTGGTGGCACCGCACTGTCTGCGCCTTCCAAGACGCTGGCCCCAAATGGCAGCTGCGGGCCAACATTATTGGGACGTTTCCCATCCTGCTGCTGTGATGTCTGCCGCCGCCGATGCTGGCGCATATGCTGCAGGGCCAGCCATGATGACTGATGAGGTGGTCGCAGGGCCTGCGGCACCTGCGACGGTCCATACTGCTCGAGCTGCTGTGACGAGAGTGTCGTCACTTGCGCAGCAAGTGCTGGCAGCTGCTGATGCGAAAGTCCTGAAAACCTTGCTGCCTGCGCGCCTGTGCCAAGTGCCACATGCCCTGCTTCTGACCCCGCCACCTCATCATGCCCGTTGCCGAGCAAAGCAAGGTCGGGCGAGGCGATGCTGCTGCTGCTGCTGTTCGCGCCCTCGCCGTTGCTGCTGGCGGCGCTGCTGCCATGGCATGTGCTGGGCGCGACACCGAGCACCGGGTCAGCTGGTGATGAATCGACCTCGCTGGTCATGCTTGCTGCTGCGCCGCCACCTAGGTGGGCACTGGCGCGCTGGGCGTCGGCCGCCGCCACCAGTGGCGCAAGCAGCAGGGAGCCATCGCTGGACAGCGCACCGCTCGGGACAGCGCGCAGCTGCTGCCGCCGTCGGTGTGCAGCAAGCAGGGGACGCGCAACCACCATAAGTGCCGCACCAACACGCGTGGCCGCTGCCCGCCGCTGCAGGCGTTGCTGTTGATGACGCAGCTGAAGCAGCAGTGACACGCGGTGCTGGTTCAGTGTGGTAGCGGCTGCGACCCAAAAACGGACAATCGCCTGTGCAGAGCGCACAGCACGCAGCACCAGAGCCTGCTGCAGGTGCAGAGCTTCAAGGCGCGCCCAGGACGACAACAGCAGCCAGCCGCTGCGCTTGACGGCTCCAGCGCTGCTTGCCACCGCCGGGGCAGCGCCAGCGACGCCCCGGGCCATGCCCCCACCCCACTGGAGGGTGGCCGACGCGCTGCGAACTGCCACGATGAGCGGCGACAGCAACGGCAGCAGCGCATCGCGCACCCAACCCAGTAACAGGAGCGGGCCCCACAGCAGCGCCATGACGAGCTGTTGCACAGCCACGCACAGCAGCCAAACCGCCGACGCCAATGGCTGAAGTGCCCACGCCATCGCAGAGATTGCGGCCCCCATCATGGCCCACAGCGGCTTAAGAGCCTCCGTGGCCAGTCCCGCCATGTTCCTGACGAGTCGCAGCGCTGCCATGAACAGCGGCGATTTGCCCAGTAGGTAGGTCAGCAGGATGGACAAACGCATCTGGCAGGTTGTGCCGGGGGAGGGGGGCCGGAGGGCGATAAGGTGTGAGCAGGGAGCAGGCGGCTGGTGGAAATGAGCATTCCTACCCTGCGTGCACGTGGTACCGCAACGTAGTGGATGCCTCGAGGTGGAGCCACATGAATTGCTGAGATACATGCATGTTACTCCTTGGTCTCTGACCATTGCGCCTCGCGCACCAACCAATGCCCGGCCCGCAGCATCCCCAAGCTGCACACCTGGGTGTGCAGCTCAAGCCACTCAAAGAGGTATGAGGCCGGCATGAAGGCACGAATGACCAGCGACTTGAAGTGCGGCACGTTTTTGTACAGATCATAGAACCCTGATGAAGGATGGCAATGGACAAGAGGCACGCCAGGTCAACAACCAAGGGTGCAGCCGACAGCACCATGGAGGCAGCGTGGAGGCGTTACAGGGTACCCACCACAGGGGTCCAGGATGACCAGCATCACACAATCTCCAACCAAGCCTTGACTTGCAGGACGCTTGTCACCCATGTCTCACCCAGGGCCATGGAGATCACGCTGACCAGCACAAAAAGCAGCCATGTGGCGCGCCGCATCCAGGGCCTGTGCACACCGGCCAACGCATGGGAGTGGGATGGCATGCACATGTTATGAGATTCAGCTGGATCGACCTGTCAGGAGGGTAGCATAGCGCTCCGAGCCGGTGTAAACACAACCTTTACACACACAATCCCATTTGTGACCGCATCCAATCCACCGCACCTGTAGAAAAGGCCATAAGAGGGTAGCCACACCGCCCAAACCGGCAGCCCCGACTCGTAGTGCTTCAGCAGACGCATGTCACTCTGCAATAGAGGCAGGGTGGGTAAGGCGAGCACGGTTGCTGGAGGCAGTACTCAACGTATTGGTTGCCACTTTAGAAACCACAGAGTGCTCTGGCGACACGGCACAGAGCGAGTAGAGCCCAGGCATTCACCCTGCTGCTTCCCAGTCAGGCCCCTTCCATCTATGGCCCAAACAGCCAACCTTGACCAGCTTGGACAGCACAGGAGCCAGGGCCGGGTCAGTGAAGGTCATGACAAGTGTGCAGCATGCAAAGCACCCGTCGTACACGCCGCGGCGGCCGTTGGCAGCCATTTCCGCAGCCGTCCGAAGCACGTCGTCCGCGGAGGTTGCGGACACTGCCGCCTGCGTGCTGGCGCCAGGCATGTCAAAGCCCAGGCCCGGCCCAGCCCTTGGGGATGGAGGGGCCGTCATGGGCCCCGCACCACAGCGCAGGTGTGAGGTGGCCCCTCCACAACCCAGCTCTGCCAGAGCACGGTCCGCGCTGCTGCTGCGAGCCAGCCCAAGGAGCGGCGGTGAGCGCCCCTCCGGCTCGTGCGCGATTAACAGCGGCCACCGCCCTGTCACACCTGCCTCTGTGGCATGCCCAGCCACCCGCGGGTTGTTGACGGGGAAGGTGCACAGGTGCAGGGGGCCCGCGCCATCGCCAATTTCACCCCCCAGCCCCAAAGGAATGGTGCGGCCAGAAAGAGTGGACGCCGGCGCCAAGAGTTGGTTGCACAGGGGGCATGCGTTGCACGGGTCTGCAGCACTTGCTGCAGCCACCCTCTGCTTGGCAATGCCATCCTTGCCGCTGCGCTGCAAGCTGGTGGGCTTGGCCTCACTTGTGTCAAATATGGCGCGCGGCACCTGATGCTGCAGGCCTGCGTGCTGCTGCTCTGCGCCACACGCCTGCTGCAGGCGTGCCTGCTGGCGCCTGCGGTGCAGCTGCACCAGTTTATCGCCCTCATCCTGCTGCGGTTGCTGCTGTTGCTGCTGCTGTTTTCGTGGAAAAAGCCTCTGGCGCCAACGCTCCTGCTCGCGATCCTGCTCTTGCTGCTGCTGCTGCTGCTGCTGCTGCTGCTGCAGCTGCGGCGGCGGCAGCTGCTGCTGCTGACGCTGCTGCGGCGGCTGAGGATGCAACTCCTGCTGCTCTGACTGCTGCTGTTGCTGCTGCTGCTGTCGCTGCTGCTGCTGCTGCTGACGCTGCTGCTGCTGCTGCTGCTGCTGCTGCTGCTGCTGCTGTTGCTGCTGTTGCTGCTGCTGCTGTTGCCGCCGCTGCTGCGCGGTGCGCTTCTGTTGAAGCAGCACTGGCTGCCCCGCATGCTCTCCTTGGCAGCACGTGTTGTCCGCCTGCCCATGCCGCGTCGAAGGAGCTGCGGGTTGCGCCAGGTCCCCGCTTGTGGCGCCGTTGGTGCTGTCGACGATGCTGGTGATAGATACCGCAGGTTCCAACAATAGGGGCACAAGGACGGAGCTGCTTTTGCCTTGCCCTGAGGAAGCGCTGCCCTGAACACCATCAAACGCCGAGGCTATGCCCGCTGGTGGGTGGCAGTCCCCGATGCACTCGCCAATGCTGATGTCCTGCACGGGCGCCACGTTTGACCCCGACGCTGCCAACCCAGACGCCCCTGCCAGGAGCCCGCAGGTCATCGCCGACGCCCCGCTCCCCAGCGCGGCAGAGCGGGGGCTGCGCCAAAAGCCGTCAACGGCCTGGCAGCTGCTGGCCCTTGAGAGGCCCTTGGGACCGCGAGGGTCAAGCCCCGCATCTCGCAGCAGGGCCTGCGCCGCAGCCAGTGCCGCAGGTGTGCTGGGCATTGCGGCGGACAGGTCGCTGTCAATGGAGTTGCGACGCGATGGAAATTGCGAGGCAGCCGCGCCATAGTCAGACGACCCAGACAACAGCATGCTGCCAGCACTAATGTGGGCCGCCAATGATGGCGCTGTCAACATGCTGCCGCCGCCGCCGCCGCCGCCACTGCCACTGCCGCCGCCTGCGAGAGGCAGGCTGCCGCAAGACAGCCGCCCATCCGGCCAGGGTGGTGCAGCGTCTGACATGGCTTCCATGAAGGGCGACGCTCCTGCGGTCGGCAGAGTCGGCCGTGCACGGCGGGGCCGTGGGAGGGGTGGCTGCCCTGCTGGCCCTGCTGCTGTGCCGCAGATGTTGGCGGCCAAGCCTGGTGCAGAGTTCGCCTGGCTGTCACTCGGGTGAGTCTCCGCAGCTGCCTTAGTTGCCTCGTGCCCAGAGCCTCCGAGAGACGCTGCCTCTGCCACGTCGCGCGAGTCTGAGGCAGGCGTCGTGCAGCCACTGGCCCGCTCAACGGCACGGCTGTCGCGAAAAGGGCGCCCCCCAAACGCATCGCTGGCTGGGGTGTTGGGCGGCGTCGTTGGGGGACCCGGGAAGTAGTGGGCACAGGCATCATCCACCTGAGCACCGATAGGCAACATGCAGGTCAGTCAGGTGAGGCATGAACAGGTTCGTGCAATGGTCAACACTTTGATGTGTCGCTCGCAAACGGCTCCCAGAGGCATGTGCTGCAGGGCCCTCACACTGGCAGTGCATGGCCGCAGTGAGCTGGAATATCTATTGCCTCAACACAAGGCAGACTGATGCTGGGCTATCGCTGCCACGTGCACTCACCGATGCAAACACGCGTTTGCCAAGGTGCCGTGCCTCCAGCACGAGACGGGTGGGCTCCATGAGACGCGACAGGTAGTCCATGCCCACCACATCCGTCCAAGCCACCTCAAACGCTACCACCACGGCAGGCTCTGATACAAAGAAGGGGTTCTTGTGGCGCAGCAGGTGCTCCACGTTGTCCTTTATCGCGCTACCCAGCCGGCCGCTGCGCTGCGGTCGGAGAGACCGAGAAGGGAAGGGGGGCGCGCAAGGCAGCGACAGCAGCAATTTACAACGTGGGGCATCTCAAGCCAGCAGAAAGCAAACAGCATGCAAGTCGCAGCAATATCAGCCACGTGGGTGCGCATAGTTCCACAGCTGCAACACGGCGGTCACGACCAGTGAAGCACCAAGCACACACCTTGCTCTTGCCCTTCCGAGTCAGCAGCAGCACGAACTTGCGCGATGACGGGATCATGAGCAGATAAGGAGACCACGTGCTCCGCGGCTTCCATAAGCCGATGTGCACGCCCGTCAGGGGAAACAGGCGCCGCTCCCCAGTCGCCCCTGCTCCTCTCCACGACGCAGCGCCCGACATCCCGCTACTGCACAGGTGTGGCGCGCACCCCAGCGGTGCCACGCACCCCTTCGACGTTGAAGGAGCCTAGACGTGTATCATGAGCGGGGGACTGCGCGTTTTGTTCTTGAGCTTCAAAGAGGAGTGCGTGGCAGATCAGCCAGGATAACGCCGATGTATGCGTTGTAACATGTTTGATGTGTACATCAGCAGCTCAAGTATTAAAGCGTGATGCCACAAAAGCAGGACTTTGAGACTTATGATAAGCGGCCAAGTAGTTTTTGTCCGGAGACCGCGGCGTCGCTGTGCGGGGCTTATGATACTATGGCACCAAACCAAAAGTATGCATGCACGTACTTTTGAAGCTGGTAGGCTCCTGACCACCCCCACCCGCTCCACCCCCACCCATCGGGCGGGCCTCACAGTGCCGACACACGTCACACGACACACGACTGCATCTCGTTTCTATCTGCATCTCCACAGCCAATCGCCTTTGTGTCATTAGATGCGAGTGGCAATCTGTCTAGCTATTGTTACTTTGAATCCATGCTCGAGCGACATTTCTTGTGTGTAAAAAAGACAGGAGGAGTGAGAGGGGACAGCAGGTGGTGCATTTCAAGCTGCGGTGGATGGGTTGTGCACCAATGCGGCGCCCATGCGTTTCGCAGTGTCTCTGGGACGGCGTGAACAAGCGGACAGCAAACAGGGTGGTCTGGCCGTGCACGAAGACCGGGGCAGTCGCACGCTGTCCCAACGTGCAGACGCCCCCACTGCACACCAAAAACTTTTGAAATGACCATGTATACTTGAAAACAGACTGGACACATGGTGGGTAAAATCAGGCGGTGCGACCGGCTCCAGGTTGGCCGTTCATAGCACTCGCCGGACGCCTTCAAAGCGACGGCAGCGCCTGGCAGCCGGCAGCCACAAGCGCCGAGTGGCTTGCTGGCCCCAACGCCAAGATGGCACGCGTGCGGCTGGGCGCCTCATCAGGCCCAGCGCCCGACACCAGCTCCAGTAGGCAGTGCGCAGGGACACCAGCCGCGCGCGCTGCGTCCATGGCGTGGCTCAGTGCGGCCTCGTCCGGGCAGCGCAGCACCAACTTGGCGCCCTTCTGCGCCTCCTGCACCGGCAATCAGGAATCCATGCAGTGGATTTGGAGTTTCACCTTGTCATCAACTGAAACTGAACCTGAATGACAATCAGTGAGTCCACAGAGGTCTGCCAACTCTGAATTCCCTGGTGCAGGCAGAGCCGCGGCTGGACTCACCCAGCTAAGCAGCGGCACCCGCAGGTCGCGGCTCTTGTAGTTGCGCTTGTAGAGACTCAAAATGGCGGAAGAAATCATCACCGCCAGCTTGCCCTGGCCCCACCGCCCCAACAGATCATCACGAACTACCACCACCTGTTATAAATGGCAGCAAAAGGGGGAGGCGGCAATGACAGGTGCGTGGCCCAGTGCATCCATAGCACAGGTCAGGGAAGTGTGCGACATACAGCACACATCAGCGCACCCTTCATGCATGCACCCTCCAAACCTCGCATAAATAGGAAACAAGTGCGCTGCTGCAGCAGGGACCCAAACAGCCGCACCATCTTGAGCCGCTCGCCCCGGGCGCCGTGGCTGCTGGTGCTGCCGCTGCTGCTTCGGTGGAACAAGGACGAGCTGCTGGCCATAGGCGTGGGAGGCAAGGACAAGGCAGTCATCACAGAGCCTGCCACCGACGCCGTCGGGCTCAGGTCGCCCGCAACTGACGCGTCGCCGCCATTGAGGTCCGCATCGCCGCTGTGGCCGCCAGCGTCGATCCCGCTGTCGCTGCGCAGACGAGGACTTGCGTAAGGATCACGGTCACACTTCGACGGGGCTGCTGCCTTGACTTCGCACGTCGCCTGCGAGCACGGCTTGACCTGCTCGTTCCGCAGATGGTCGCCCGCCGGGGCCTGGCCTGCTATGATCTGATACAAGCTCTTCCATACGTTTCGGGGCCCTTTTGCAACCACGTAACCAGCAGCAAAGCCCACAGCTAGGCCTCCAACAAATGCCAGTGACCGCGACGAGCCTGCCATGCCAGCTGCACGATACACCTCCCTGATACTCGTCCTTGGATACCTCATGTCCTGCCACGCCGCTGGGCTGTGGATCATTGTGTCAGCTGGGGCCCAGTCAGATCAGTGGCAGCTGCTGTGCTGCTGCCGGCGGCAGCTTGCCCAGCGCACGACCGTCGGATGCTGCCCCAGTGCAAGCACGTGCCTCTGTGTATGGTCAAGGTGAAGTGCACGGCCACGTTTGCAGGTTGGGCCTGACCGCAGAGCGGCGTGAGACAGGCCACAGCCGCCCAACACCAAGTCCAAATTATGCCAGTGTTATCTCCATCCGAGAGGGTTAATGTTACTGTCACGGTGGGGG